TTGTTAAAGCCGTCTAGGGATTAAACTGATGGTTCTTTCAAACAATAGAGAGAACCACAGTCAAAGTTTTATCCAATCAGAACAGAGCAGGGCGGGTTGTGTTGAGTGACTGACAGCAGGTGTGAAGAACTGCAGTCTGGAGTCAGACGGCAGGTGACCAGGAAAGCTCTCATTGTTTCCTGGACTATTTTCCAGAGGACTGCATATTTAATATATATTTTATTTCTAAAAGCAGCTCGCAGCATTTCCACCGTAACAATGTGTTCACGAGCACAACAAAACCGTGACAGATCACCTGACTGTTTTTAAAGCGAGGATTGAGGCTGTTGCACCTCTCCCCCCAGCAGCGCAGCTCCGAGCTGCCCGGGGCTTCAGAGTCTAAACTCTTTTTATTATTTAAATATTCAGTATTTTCTCTTACATGTTGTCTTACATACATGTACAACTGGCAAGTGAGCTCCTAATTCTCAAATGAGCGGCGCCACAGTGGGAGCGCGCTTTAGGAACGCTGTAAAAACATTAAACAGGGTTCCCACACCTTGGTCAACGTCAAATTCAGGGACCTTTCAAGGACTTCCCAGTACCAATTTCCTCAAATTCAAGAACCAGGCGCAACGGCAATTACCTAATGCTACCGCAGAATTACAGATAAACAGGTTTAATATCATGTAATTCAATGAAAAACTGAACATAGAAGTTGTTGAGTCAGAAACAATGAAAGAAAGTGGATTAAATGTACACCCTGTATTCATGTCCACAATACATGGACATGTAATTATGTCCTGGGAGGTTCAGCAGCTCAGTTTGGGAGGAGGGTGTGTGAACATGTCCAGACCCTGAGGACAGGAGGAGCTGTGGTGGTCTCACCTGGCCTCAGAAAGAACGACCTGTCCTACTCTGCTCTGATTGGCTAAAACTATGACTATGACTCATGTTATTTGTTGAAAGCCACGCCAGTTTACCGTAATCCTGAGTTATCCACCGCAGAAATATGTTTTTTTATCATATATATATATATTTTTTTTCAGATGATGAAAATCAGTCGTGTGAACAGAGAACTTCAATCCCCCCCCAAAAAAAATTCAAGGACTTTCAAGGACAAGTGTAATTTTTGGCTGTTTTCACAAAATTTCCAGGGCCTTGAAATCATTTTTTCAAATTCACAAACTTTCAAGGATTTCCAAGACCTGTGTGAACCCTGATGAAAGATGGAATACTGTTTTTATGCCCCTACATCTAACAAAGACGTGTCTACATTTGACTTTGATTTTTTTTCTAAAATCACAGAGTTCTCTGAGTCAGCTTGTAGTTAATCATAAATACCTTCTAAATTTAACCAGGTGTTTCAATGCCTTTAAATTACACAATCATTTTACTGGAGAAACTTGTTTGGTAAAAAAAACTTAAAAAAAAAACTAATTTTTTTTCCCTGTGCAGAGAACATCTTGGATGGACATAATGAACACAGTGTCCTCCTATTTAAACGAAAATGTCTGACCTGTAAGCAGAAAGCTTTTGGATGTTGGGTAACCTCTAGGTGTAGAAAAGTTTTAGTGGCAATATTTTAATTTCTGTTTCAAAGAAGAGGATGAGGAGGAGAACGAGGAAGTTTTATTCAAGCAGCTCCTGAAACTGTCAACCTGCTGACTAAATATTTATATACAGTAAACTTTGTCTATAGAACAATATACTTATTAAAATACATTTTTATTGAGTTTTTTTTTGGACAACCAAAATGTTTTGCGGACCACCAGATTTTGTCAACAGGTTGTCCGCTGGACAATCCTTATGTCTAGCCCGGATGTGGATGTGAGGCTGATACTCACGCAGCATGTGTCCTCTTGTAGGTGTAGAGTTTGGAGAAGAGACGAGCCAGCTCCAGCAGCATGGACACTCCACTACCGTTTGAGTCGGCTCCGTACGACAGCCACTGCAACCCAAACACACCACCTGATTTACCCCCTGCTGCTCTCAGTGTCAGTTCCTGACATCTACATCTCACTTGATCAAATAATTCAGCGTTTATTTATTGAACATTTGAAATTTTGTAATTCCAAAGAAAGAAAAGTCAAGAAGTGAACGTACTGGAGCGACTCCAAATGAATCGTAATGAGCCACCACCACGATCGTCGGCAGGTCTTCCCCTCCAACTCCGGCCAGACGACCCTGATGAACAAAACAAACAGCCGTCAGACTACTCAGACGAAAAAACGTCTCTCCGTTAAACATTTGAAGTTTAATGTAAATTAAACTTAAACATATAAATATATAAACACACACACACACAATACAAATATATAATAGACAAAAATTCTGTGCGTCTCCTGGGGGCTAAGCCCCCATGTCATTAAAACCTAGTGACACCCCTGCAAACAAACAAACAAACAAACTAACTAACTAATCAATCTGTATTAAAAATAAGTGATTAGAACACAGTCTGTGCTGCAGCAGAGGGATCTCAGTACAAACGTCTCAGTTTGTCTCTCTTTTAGAGAAGAACTCTAATTCTTGTAAAATATCAGTCATATCATACCGGCCAGAAGCTAATGCTGTTTGAGGGGGCCATCGCACAGAAAAGTTTGGAAACCCCGGTACTAAAACATTGTTGAGAAAAGAGATCTTGTTATCTGACAGACTTGTGTAACGAGGCGGATTCTGGAAGCTAACTTAGCGAACGGCTAAATCTTCATTCATCTACAGACGTATTTAGTTTTTATCAGCTTGAAAAACTGAAACCAAAACAAAGTAAGGAAATAATAAGAACAGAGTTCACATCGCTGTATTTAACCAGCAGGTTTCAGCTGCCAGATTCGGTTTCAGACGTAGATGGCGGGTTTTTGTCTCACCTCCAAACTGGTGATGACCCAGTCGCTGACGGCTTTGCTCTGAGCTCCGCTCGTCACCATCTGAAAGCCGTTAGCTGTGGCCGTGTGCAGCAACACTACGGGACAAACAGTTTCAATCAGTCGTGAAAACGGTGCTGGGTGAACGTGCGACAGCTTCCGTTCTGTTCACGTCGGGTCGTGTCGAGTCCTCTACCTTCAGCGGCTGATAAGGACCCCTGCGAGGATGAGGAGGTGAGGGTTTGGGAGTAGATGGACAGCAGCTCGTCGTCCTCCAGGGCAAAGTAGACGGGGACGACGGTCTCAGTGGCCAGCATCTCTGGCTCCAGCTCCATGAACTGCTGCAGGGAGGGAACAGTGACAAAACAGCAGCCATTAGGAAAACACAAACAATTTAAACCAATTTAAGCATGAAAAATATGGATGGAAGTAGGGAGAGTTTTTATCAAACTGTAGCCAAATAATAACTTTCATCCACTGAGCAGCAAAATGAGTAACTCAAACACTTTAATGTTCTAATAGATTATAAAGTGGACGGTGTAGTTAGCCTCCTCTGATAATTGCTCCTGCTTCTGAGTCAGATCAAATGTAAAAAATAAAAATTGAAAGGGAACCCAAACAAACAAGGAGATCAGAGGAACGGTGCTGCCAAATAAACCGTGGGCTGGACTTGTTTTTTTTTATTCCTGCTACAGAGCATAAAGAGCTGCAAACACAAAGTGAACAGCACAGAGACGGTGAGGTGTCAGTACCTGCACTATGTCCTGCGGCATGGCAGACATGTTCTTGGGCAGGATGATGACCACGGCGCCCGCCGACTGACGCAAAGCCTTCTGGTACTTGTCGTAGGAGAAGTCCGCCAGTCGCATGACAACACAGCGACGACTTAGGACCTCGGCCTCCACGGTGCGCGCTTCCGTATTCAGGATGGCATTCCGGGTACCTGAAGAGACGAGGCAGGCGACTCATCAGTTCCAAATGTTAGGCGAGAGGAATCGTTGACAAGATGGGAACTAACACGAGTCAAACACAACTTAAAGAGGCTGACGGTGAAATGAAGATAAAGCGAGCTGCTTGACAAGAAGGCTCCAGATTTAAAGGATTTGCAATCCTTACAATCATTTAAGAGGATATTCGATGAATCTTACCGTTCTTTTAGTCGCGTGTGCTCTGTCTGCAGACAATCGAAGACAAGAGTCCCTCAAAAACATTCTTCAATTTTTGTTTTTACCCAGTCTAGCACAACCTGTTATTTCAGTTTAAAGTATAATTTCTTTTAGAATTAATCATTGCTTTAACTTCAATAAATTTACATGACAGGGTCAGCAACGCAAAGCAGAGTAAAATCCATCAAACTCCAAGTCAGCTGCCAGCGTTTTGAGATATCTACCCAGATAATTGCAGATGGATGTGTGCCATCGAGACAGCAGAACACAGCAGTGTTTCTGCAGCTCCTTTAATCAAAGCACAGCAAATCACATTACCATACAACTGTTGGACTGGACCCTCAAAGAAGGCACTCAAACTGACCAAATTTCCGCTCTCTGCTGTCATTTCTCACTCTCCTCTACGCGTTTGTTGTAATTGTTTCTATCAATAACATGTTTTTCTTTGCCTCTCTCCAGAGGAAAATACACCTGGACCAGTCCTTCTGTGCTCATCTCTTTTCTGCCCTCTCAAACCCAGACGGGCGAGGCAGACTGCCACTCATCCTGGGTCTGGTTCTTAGAGTTTTTCCTCTCCACTGTCACCAATGTGCTGCTCAGGATGGGAGACTGTGATGAGGTGAAGATTCAGCGTTATCTGTTGACAAACTTAGATTGTTTATTGTACAGTCCCCTGAGACATTTGTTGTGATTTGACGCTATATAAACTGTATCGAAAATTAAATTGAAATTCACTTCTTACAGTCACTCTAAATGAACGTTTCAGCTGCCCACATGGTCATTCTATGTGTCCTTTTTGAATATCAGGTGAACTCATAAACAGGAGAAGAGACTAAATTTTGTATAAGAAAAAAATGACATTTTGTTATTACTTTAAAATTAAGCTAGATGAAATGTTGATTGAGGATAAGTATTTCTGGAGTACTTATTGCTGCCTGTAATATGTATCCAATTTAGGAGATTTTAAGCTTAAATTTTCTTAATAACTGTCTATGTAGTTGAGACAATGCAACACAACAAAAATGTAATTTTTGATATTTGTATTTTTTTCTCAGTAGCAATAACAATTAGAACAGAAGCAATACTGACAGTATTTGGAAATAGGACCGTCGTTCAATTATATGTTATAACTACCTGCCATAGCATAAACTACCTGCAACAGGAGCTGAAATGGATCAATGTCAAGAAACTACAACTAATTTAAACTGAACCAGCTATTTAATTTTAGTTTTCTTCCAGACTCATTGTAACGTTACATATAAATAGTATATTTATTCGAATAGCGTACTTAATTTATTAATTATTAACGCTACCATTAAAAAAATGTTATTTAAATGGACAGTGCTACTCCCTCCTGGTCGTTTGGCTAGGCTACATTAGCAGCTAAAAGCTACATCAAGAGTAGCAGAAAATAACACGCTTGCAGCTGAATCGGTTTCTGGTTACTAACAAAGTTTATACACCAATGCCTTCATTTTATGAGGAGACGTGGGAGAAAAGCAGCTGTCTCACCGTACGGCTGTCCCTGGAGGTCGTACTGCTGCATGCGGTACACCGTGAACTCATGTGCCGCCTCGGCTGGAAGCGGGGACACCAGGATCAGCACCGCGGGAATAAACACAATGAAGGTTAGGGGAAACGACGATTTGAACATGTTATCGAACACTTCGCTGGCCTCCTCGAACATCGTGGCGATTGTGTTTTCAGCGTACACCAAAGGACTGAATGAATATGTTCAGCTGTCACCGCGACTGACGGCTGCCAGGAGCGAATTCTGATCAGGCACACGGCTGGACAACCTCATCCCGTGTTCTGAAAAACAAAAAAAAAATATTACTGTATTTTTAAATTATACATAAAGAATGAATTAAAAGGCCGTAAACGTTATGTTTACTTAAAAATACGATATGATGAAGACATATTTTAAAGTTCAATGGTTGTTGGGTCCTTCAGGATTCCTACAGAACAACTAATAATATTTTTTTCTTACACTAGATGGCGCCATTTACCACAAAAACAAAAACTCATTAATACAGGCTATTGGGGGTTCTCAAGCCATTTGGGTCTGGGGACCCCTTACAAGGGTGAAAAAATTCCAGGGACCCCCTCATAAACCCTGTGCTGTTTTAAAATATAATTTATTGTCATTTAAACCCCTAAATGCCATGGGAATATATATTTTTATTAAGTTTATTGTATTTGTTTTATTAGTTCATAGTTATCCATGCATTTAATTTAGTGAATTTTTTTGAGGACCCCAAGATACCTCTCACGGACCCCCAGGGCTCCTGGGACCCTGGTTTGAGAACCTCTGGGCTATTGTAATCTGGATTTTGCGAACTGGTCACAAGATCCTTACTGTACAGTCTGTTCTAATTAATTTGAAGGAAACACTAAAAAAATTGTTTTAATATGTAG